CGACGTGGTGAAAGGAGGAATCCACAGTTTTTTGTTGAAAGACATGTTCATCACACTGTTGGAGTTATGGTTTGGGGTGCTATAGCTTATGGTTCCAGGTCACCTTTAATCTTCATCAGAGGTAACATGAACGCGCAGCGTTATATCCACAAAGTTCTAGAACCCCATCTTTTACCCTATCTTGACACCCTGGCAGATCCAACTTTCCAACAAGATAATGCCCGGCCACTTGTTGCAAGAGTCACAATAGACTTCTTTCAACATAATGATGTCACATTGTTACCATGGCCACCAAGATCTCCCGACTTATCCCCAATTGAGCACGTGTGGGATATGATGGGTAGGAGATTGCTCAATTTGTAACGTCCTCCTCAGACTCTAGAAGCACTTCGAGAGGAGTTGGTGGTTGCCTGGAATGAGATACCACAGGAGGACATTGACCACCTGATCAGAAGCATACCTAGGCGCGTTGGAGAATGCGTAGCACATCAGGGTGCATCCACACATTATTAAAGGTCAAAGGGCTTTAAAGCAGTGCAATCATTTTGAAATTTTTACCATTACTTATTACGCTTCATTAAGTACTTATACAAAATTTTATTAAAATAAAACCATTTAAACTGGGTGTTCGGATTTATATGTCACTTAGTATATATTGAGGTACCATAATCCTTATACAGCATGCTATATTTTGTGTTACTGGAAAAAACTTACGATTAAGTCGCCTGTTCGTGGGTTCTCCAAAACTGCATTACCTCCCAAAAGTGCTACTCTACGACTATGAGATACTCGACACAGCAGGACTCTACTTATCAGCAATTCTGCTCACTCTAGCTCCCTCAATAGTGATTTATTTTTGTTTTTAAACAAACGATCGGAATTAGATGTCTGATTGTTTGATTAACCGTGAACAATGATCCTCATTAGATTTCAGCGGAATGATAACCTTTCAACTGTTCACAAGGCCGTGAAGAGGATAATTCATTAATTAGAGTCCAGTAGTGGCTACTGGCAGCGATCTTGAAATTTGAGTAAAATTAGGAATTCGATTGAAAAAATTATTGAGAAGCATTCACAAGGTAGGTATTATCAATATAAATTGAGTAATGATTTGTTGTTAGGGTGTAGAGTCTTTAATATACTAAGTGACATATAAATCCGAACACCCAGTTTAAATGGCTTTATTTTAATAAAAGTTGATGAATGTATTTACCTTACTGTAAATAACAAGTGTACAAATTTTCAGCCTTATCAGTTGGACCTTCCGGTTTTTATACTGCTTTTTTTAATTCACTAACGCTCTAAAAATGAATATTTCAGTCGCAGTAAAGAATCAACGTTGGCGGATTTTGGTTCTTGACATCCTTTACGATCGGTTACGATGCCTAGAGTACGGAGACCTGTACGAGTTCGTCAACTTAGTGAGTTTGATAGGGGCCGTATAGTGGGACTTCGGGAAGCTGGACTTTCTTTTCGGGCAATTGCAGTTAGAGTGCAAAGAAGTGTAGACACTGTGGTTAGGTGTTGTCAGGCATGGCTTCGAGAAGGCCATACGCAAAGAGCAAGGGGCACTGGACGCCGCCGTAGAACAACAGACCGTGAAGATCGCCGCCAAAGATTATTGGTCTTAAGGGACCGTTTCTCCACTACCAGGTCCATTGCAAATGAATGGTGTGCAGAACACAGAAGAACTATTAACATGCGAAGTGTTTACCGACGAATGAGAAGTTTTGGCTTGTTTTCATACCGGCCACACTGGGTCCTCCCTTTAACTCGAGAACACCGACGTAATCGCCTTGAGTGGTGCAGACAACGGTCACTCTGGGATCAGGAATGGAACAGTATTGTCTTTAGTGACGAGTCTCGATTTTGTTTAGGCATGCACGATGGTCGTGCCAGGGTTAGAAGGCGATGTGGTGAAGTAGTTATTGAGATTTTCTAATTGTTCTGTCTTCCGGCCATCACTACTAGCTTACTGAGCAATATACAGGATTCGTTCAAAGGGTATTTCATAGCAAAATTATTGTTATGCAAAGGGTTACGTTTTTTTCTTCTAAACATATTCAAACATTTCGTATACGAGCCGTCTAACTGCAAACCCCGCCAAATGCAAAAATAACAAAAATTGAGATAGCACTGTCATTCGACAGGAAATGTTGATATCTGCATTCTGTCAAGATTTTATTTCTCAGAACCCGGCCTTCACACTACTATCGAGCATCAAAAAATCAGTTTAGTTTCAATACATCGCCAATTGCAGATTTGTTTGTTGGCAAAAATCTCCAGGTGCGTGTGACCAATATGAAAGTCGTATTTTGGTCTCATGACCATGTGTTCCGATTCACAGGGTTTCGTGCCATTTCCTGGTATTCTCATCATTGTGGTTAAAAACACTTGATTTTGACTGCAAAGCCTGCCATTTTTCACATTCATTTTCAAACCCCGCCAACTGGATTTTATGTTTCTTATTTGACGGTGCTAATGCTCTCTTTGTTGTAATACGACGATGTATTAAGAAGCAGTATCTACATCAATCAAATATTGAAGTAAATTGATTTTGTGACTAGGATTACGCAAAACAGTTTTCCGCGTTTTTCTTAGAACTGTATGGTTTGTACTTGGCGGGGTTCCCACTTCAGTTGGCCCACTTCATGATTTGTACCAAAATATGCCTTTATAATTTAAAAATAACGAAACTATTTACTTCTAAAACAATTTATTTTCTCAAAAATATTTTAGATACAATCTAGTCCTAAAAAAAAAATTTGAAATCACTTAGACCTATAACTAATAGAACATCTGAACAAATAAACAATGTGCGAATAAATGCGCGAAGTTAACAAAGCAACAATTGAAAGATTACCATTGGGTAACATCACCTTTATTTTTTATTACGGCTGAAATTCTTTGGGGCATAGTTTTAACCAAGTTTTGGCAAAAATTTGGTGTAAAACAATCCCATATTTCTTGAAGCTTTTGTCTCAGTTCGGTGATTGTACGAGCAGGATATTGTCGTAGAACCTTTTTCATCTCGTGCCACAAAGTTTCAGTAGGTGACAGATCTGGACTGTTAGAAACCCATTTCAAAAGTGGTACATTATTTTCTTCCATCCATTTTATAGCCTTTTTGAGGTATTGCACGCTGCACCTTCTTGCTAAAACACAAAATCTTTGCCTGATGTCAAACATTCTTCCATCACTGGTAAAAGCGATTCTTTTGAAATTGCCAAAAATTGTTTGTATCCACATTTCCACCAATAAAATGAAGTTTTCCTACTCCTTTTGATGACATACTGCCCCAGATCATAATGGATGCTGGAATTTCACTTTTCTCTTCAGACAGTCAACACGGAATACTTCATTTTTTTGCGAATAACTATACTGCGACTGTCACCAACACAAACTTCGAATCGGACCTCATCACTCCATTGTATTGCACACCATTGTTGAGGTGTCCATTGTCTATGTCCTGTAGCCCATCTAAGATGATTTTTCTTTTGCAGTGGATTTAATAGTGGCTTTTCTTTGGCCTATAAACAAGTTGTGCAACTTTAGGGTTTTTACTTCACTTTTTTTATAAGAAAACTTACCTTGCAAGTGCTAAATCCCAGTTTGTGGGCCTCTCTATGAGTTGTGGACCTCGAAATACTCCTTCCAACACTTAATTGTAAATAATTGGCACGCCTGTTTTTCACGATTATTCTTCTTAATGCTCTTCGGTCGGCATTTGTGATATTACTTTTTTCACATATCGTGGCTTAATATTAACTAATAACCTCTCCTCTACCCAGTTTGCTAACCTCAACTACCCAAAACTATTTTAAACGTATTCCGACAGCAGTGATTAATAAAAACAATTGTCACGGCTTTTATTTATCACAGCCACCTATGCGTTATAGACTTATTTTGCATTGAAATGAAAATAGGTTGATATGCTGTAATTACAACATGTGTTATTTTTATGCTGCAAATTTGATTAGGGAGTGATAAAGTTGGTGTTTTCTACTATATATTATCAAAATATTCATTGTTAATATTTTAAACCTATAACACCCTTTTATTATTTGTGTTTGATAAGAAAAAAACTAAGATTTCAACAGTTGGGCCAACTGAAGAGGGAAGGGGCTCGTAGGTAGTCAGGTATTGGGGAGGGGCGGCGTTGCCAGATAGATGGTGCTACCGGTAGTGCAGAGAAAATTGCTGCTTGTTTGACTGACTTGATCCATTTAATTTCTCAGTTTTGGATGTCCGTAACTATCTTTTTCTCAGAGGCTCTAACTGGTACTGAACATGAACCTTTATGAACTTGTGACGGCTTTGCGTGGAAACTGCCGAGTCAGCCTACTTCACATCATTTTTGTAACTGCAATTAAATGCAAGGGGACTTCTATTGGCATCCGTTACACGTCAGCATCATTGACATTATTAAACATGTGAAGTGGTGATAGAAATATAGTATACCTAACAAGCAACAATAGTTGCTTACAAACTGGCGATCTTCTGACCTAAGTTAAAATCAGCTTCTGACCTGAACTAAGTTGTTGATCCTAAGCACGATTCCAAGAGGAACGTACCATACCTGTCAGCTGTCAAAGAAGGAATAATAAGAAAATAATCAGTGTTTACGTTTTGTGATGTATTAGACTTTGTAGTTGTGGTTGTTTGTTGTCTTCTCCATAATGAATCACTAAATAGAGACTATGGAAAATTATCTACAAACATTAAAGATACCTAACCTCAATTATGAAGGTCAAACATTCAAAGGCGTCGTGTTTGGCGCCACCTTACACCAGAAGAAAATCCGGGTGTCTTAAGAGCGGGAAGGGGAGAGGTAAGATTCTAACTAACTTGAGCCGAATCGTAAGCGTCGCTCAGTAGTTTTAATTAGGTTAGGTCAGAATGTGTGCTGTTCGTAAGCAACTAATGCATAATCGATAAGAAATCCCCAGATGAGCTGATCATGAAGCATCGTTCTTGTAGTACATTATCCATTCCCAGACATAGGCATCGTCTGCGGCGTCATCAGCAGGAGTAGCAGCACCTGGACAGGTGCAGATCACGCAGTCCGATTGGTAAGCCTGCGGCGATCGACGCTCATTGGCCGACACGCTTTTGTCTTTCGCTCTGCCACCATCGAGTAGGCTGTTCTTCGGTACCGGCGAGACGACGGCGAGCTTGAATCTGCCGTTTAGTATAGAACATGGTGTGGTTATTTATATTTCGCTGCTTACGTGTTCTTTGATTGTCTCTGTTGATTGGTTGATAAATAGTATGTATCAACAGTACATTTGCCTCCTCTCAAAGATTACTTTGTTTCAAGACGCAGGGTATCAAAACTCGTTTTGTAAAAATCGTAATAACCCTTTAGATTAGACGACTCTGCTTTTGACGTTAGCCCTTCAATAAAATTATTCAAGAACTTATAAAAGCACGAAACGCTAGAGCCATCTAGATCGCTGGATTTAACACCATTAAATGTCTTCCTCTGGGCGTCTTATTCGATTGAATATAAATTTCTTGCATTAGGTACATCTACGCATGCGAAAATCTAACAAACGACAAAATTCGGTGATGACTTTTTGACACTTTTACGGAAAATCAATATTTCAAAAGAAGTCTGAAATCCAAGCATTATCGCACCTACCGCACCTATATTTATACGAACTATTTGTCTTGGAGGCACTTTAGGTATCACCCACCAACCCTTGTTTGGCCATAAACTTTACTAACACATTGGCGACAATAGAGTATCAATGTTTTGATTGGTGTCGCCATTAAGAGGCAAACTTTGTGTTGATTACATTTGCTTGCATTGTGTACAGTGCTTTTCTTTCCATAACTTTGGACTATTAAATGCAACCTTTCCATATTTTAAAGAGTTAAGGATCTTTTACGAACATTAATAACTACAGGGTGTCCGCAAAGTTGGGGTTTTCCTTTACACGACGTGTAGATCTTGAAAACATAAGCAATTTTTCTTAGTACCATATACACCAATGTCTTAAGGGAACCGAGATAAAGGGCTCTGCAACATCAAAAATATCTGAATACCGTCCTGTAGCCGCGACATCACGGAGTGGTACAATGTCCTGGCTCAACCCGACGACAGAACTGGGTCGGGGTCAGTGTGTCAGGTCAGTATGCAACCTTCAACCGACGGTTACGGTCACGCCTGTAGAGGTAATCGCGTAGTCGAGAATCCGTCAAAAACTAAAGTGTGGCAAACGCTGCGTGAAGAGGGGCTGTATCCGTTTCACGTCCAACGTGTACAAGCCCTGACGATTTTCCAGCAAGAGTGCGGTTTTGTGAGTGGTTGTTGCATCAACATGACAATAATCCGGACTTTTTGAAGTGCATATTGGTGACAGACGAATCTACATTCACGCGTAATGGGGTGAATAACTTTCGCAACACTCATGTTTGGTCAGTAGAAAATCCGCACGCTGTCCGTCGGGCACATTTTCAACAAACATTTTCGGTGAATGTTTGGGCTGGCATGGTGCGTCTGCTCGGTAGCGCATCAGCTGATTTCATTTTCTGTTGGAGCGGTATGATTTCGGGCAGAGACGTACTTAGCCCTTCTCGCCAACTGGAGAGTGAGTACTCTTTCCTTTATTTTTTTTTTACTTGGTCGCCCTCGTTTCACTACACATTACCTTTGTTATTTCAAGGGTAGTTGTTTCTGAAAAGGAAAACCCCAACTTTGCGGACACCCTGTATATGGTTGAAGACCTAGGTGCTTTTTTAATCTGTTTTGAATCTTGTGGCTAAGCAACCGGTTAAAATGCAATTTTCTGTTGAAAAGTACCTGAATTTTTCGTATATATACAAATAATATCTCCATATTATTATGGTTATCATAAAAACATTAGATTCAACGTTTTAGTATGATAAATACAGCCTTCATTAGTATCTAAGTAATAGGTTTAAATTTAGTTGAATTGTATGTTATTTGACCAAAGTTTTAAAATTGAATTTAAGCGTGTGCATCAGTAGGTTGCACAAATTCCGTTTCAAATGGTTTTTTGATGCAATGTTTCCCAATTGATCCCCATTGGCGAAAGCAGCAATGAAAAGGGAAAAATTGCAACCAACAGATTCCTCAATTTTATGTGAGGTAAGTCAAGCTAGTATAGCTTTGTATTTTGAACGATTTGCCTATTTTGTTCAAATTGAAGACGAAAGAACATGCGAGCATGAGATTATCTATCATTTTTCGACGTACCGGAGACGTCGCCCTCGTCCATCGTCCCAAAAACACCAAAAGTCCTCCGAAAACTGAACTGTATATGCATTGTTCATGGATCTGAAACGCTAGAAATAGTACCTTGATATCTAAAGGGACCCATGTTCTGTGTTTTATAAGAAAATAATAAGTCACAGTTTGGCCTTGAGTTGGCGAAGTGAAACATCTGAGCATTTGATATCCAATAACAAACAATAAGAAAAAACCTGGAAGCAAGAAACTGATGGCTTATTAATTGTCTTCAATTCAGGATTGACAGACTTGTAAAAAATTTGAAAGCTCATTCATTGCGTTGATCAAAACACTTCTGCCTACCTTTGATTCATGTTTCCTACCTATGCAAAAGCAGTTTTTTATCATGAATCTTTTAATTAAATATTATTTTGTAACTTGTTTTAGTTATCCCTTTTACATTAGGTACCACCTATTTACATTTATTGATTTAAGTCGAAGGATGCGTAACAAAAATTACTTTAGGAACCTCCGTCTTATGGCTACAAAATTTGAATTGGAACGAAGCTCAGAAATTTAAATATATACTAAGTGACATATAAATCCGAACACTCAGTTTAAATGGTTTTATTTTAATAAAATTTTGTATAAGTACTTAATGAAGCATAATAAGTAAATGATAAAAATTTCAAAATGATTGCACTGCTTTAAAGCCCTTTGACCTTTAATAAATAATGTGCGGATGCACCCTGATGTACTACGCATTCTCCAACGCGCCTAGGCATGCTTCTGATCAGGTGGTCAATGTCCTCCTGTGGTATCTCATTCCAGGCAACCACCAACTCCTCTCGAAGTGCTTCTAGAGTCTGAGGAGGACGTTGCAAATTGAGCAATCTCCTACCCATCATATCTCACACGTGCTCAATTGGGGATAAGTCGGGAGATCTTGGTGGCCACGGTAACAATGTGACATCATTATGTTGAAAGAAGTCTATTGTGACTCTTGCAACATGTGGTCGGGCATTATCTTGTTGGAAAGTTGGATCTGCCAGGGTGTCAAGATAGGGTAAAAGATGGGGTTCTAGAACTTCGTGGATATAACGCTGCGCGTTCATGTTACCTCTGATGAAGATTAAAGGTGACCTGGAACCATAAGCTATAGCACCCCAAACCATAACTCCAACAGTGTGATGAACATGTCTTTCAATAAAAAACTGTGGATTCCTCCTTTCACCACGTTGCCTTCTAACCCTGGCACGACCATCGTGCATGCCTAAACAAAATCGAGACTCGTCACTAAAGACAATACTGTTCCATTCCTGATCCCAGAGTGACCGTTGTCTGCACCACTCAAGGCGAGTACGTCGGTGTTCTCGAGTTAAAGGGAGGACCCAGTGTGGCCGGTATGAAAACAAGCCAAAACTTCTCATTCGTCGGTAAACACTTCGCATGCCAATAGGTCTTCCGTGTTCTGAAACCATTTATTTGCAATGGACCTGGTAGTGGAGAAACGGTCCCTTAAGGCCAATAATCTTAGGCGACGATCTTCACGGTCTGTTGTTCTACGGCGGCGTCCAGTGCCCCTTGCTCTTTGCGTACGGCCTTCTCGAAGCCATGCCTGACAACACCTAACCACAGTGTCTACACTTCTTTGCACTCTAACTGCAATTGCCCGAAAAGAAAGTCCAGCTTCCCGAAGTCCCACTTTACGGCCCCTATCAAACTCACCAAGTTGACGAAATTGTACAGGTCTCCGTACTCTAGGCATCGTAACCGATCGTAAAGGATGTCAAGAACCAAAATCCGCCAACGTTGATTCTTTACTCCGGCTGAAATATTCATTTTTAGAGCGTTAGTGAATTAAAAAAAACAGTATAAAAGTCCAACTGATAAGGCTGAAAATTTTTTCACTTGTTATTTGCAGTAATATAAATACATTCACCAACTTTTATTAAAATAAAAAAATTTAAACTGGGTGTTCGGATTTATATGTCAATTAGTATACATGATAATTTAATCGAAACACATTATCTTCGAAATTCTACAGTATTGCTCGTAAGAGTTGTAGCCTAGACTTTCTCAGTAGCTTTTCCAGCCAACAATTATCACTCATATTAGGATTACAACAACGTTTTTATAATATTCCTTACCAGCATTTTATACAAGCGGAATGGGAACACCTGATAGGACACTTCAGTCACTCAAGAGGTTGTATATTGGCTGCAGTTAACAATTATACAACAAAGGCGTTAACACTTTGTATGCGCTAAAAAACCTTTGCAATGTCCAAATTTTTTTATCTACACAACCATTTTTTTGATTATACTATATTGCACCCTAACTATTTTTCATTTATTGTATAGACGAAGTGAAGAATATTTTCAAACAAACATATTCATCTTGCTTACGGACATATCGGCCATATGTGTGGTTTACACGGTTCAAACAGTGTCGTGAGTCGCTGCAAGACTGCGAACATGTTGTCCAGCCAAAATTTGTGATTACGCCGGAAACCGTGTAAATTTATCAAAACTAATCCAAAATCTTCATTGAGATACATAGACATGGAATTAAATATCTCTAAAAATTCAGTCCGTGGCATTTTAACCATCAACCACTCCCCATATTCTCCTGATATGGCACCGTGTGACTATTTTCTGTTCAGTAAACTACATTTGGCTAATAACGGGGCTCCTCACGAGCACCATCTGCTGAGGTAACGGGGGGTGAAAAGGAAACGAGGGTGGGCTGGGCCTAGACGATCGTCGGCGCTACTTTAAAAGAGGAAAGGATGACTGCGGGTGGATACCAAGGTAAATTTTTATAATAACAGAGTTGGATTTCGATTAGCGATCTAGAATGTAAATCGTTTCTTATTTTTGTACTCAGCAAGTGATCATTTAGTATATTTCTCCCCTTGTTACTGTTCGTCGATATTGTGTTGTTGAATTGTTGTTGGTGTGATTGTCCTTGAGTGCCTTTTTTATCAAGGCTGATAAAGGACCATAAAGGGCCATATGCGACCATCTCAATTACGAATGCAGTGAGTTTAATTCATGATGAGGTCAACAATAGTGTGGAGCAGTTCAACTCTATAATCGCAAAATATATTGGGGTAAGCGAATAAACTATTGCAAGAAGAGGTCATACCATGGAAGATGTGCTGCAGCCGTAGTGAGCCACAATACCCAGCGGCCTGTATATTATGGTCTAAATACATTTGCGTTCTAAGCTTAGTCCAACCTCGCTTATCGCTAAGATGGAACAAAGACTCAAACGCAAGAATCTTGAAAAGAAACTCAGACCAAAAAAAGCTGATATAAAAATAACTAACAATTCGGATAGCCATTCCAAAGAAAATAAATAGTTTTATGGCGAATTCAATCAAAAACCTGACATTAACTACATTGATTTGGAGGTTGCTAAGCGAAAATTTTTAGGGAAACTGAAAAAAAGTGACGACGAGATTTTGCAGATCGAACAAGTCTCCAAATCACAGGGCTGTACTTTGTCGCGCCTTCATCGGAGGATAAGGTTGACAGCGTCTCGATTTGGTGAAGTTTGTAGAAGAAGGCAGACAACATGCTTTAAAGTTCTAGTAAACTCCATCATATACCCAACAGAGTTTTCTAGTAACGCAATAAAGAAGGCAATACAAAAATCATTGGACACCGCAGTTCAGTATTGTAGTTTGTTTATTGATCGCACACATCCATTTCTGGCAACATCACCTCCATCTACCTATTACAGTACACAAGAAATGTACTCAATCCAGATATAAGCCTACCTGTTGATTGCTTTGCAAAAACTACCTAACTGTCTCCTCTTATTTTGACGGCATAAGATATTTTTATGACTCTCATTCAATTGTTACCATGTACCACATGACCCTTGTAAACATAATTGTGTTTACTGACATGAATAAACGAATTGTAATTTGAGTTCTTTAATTTATTTTAGGAAAGATATCAAATTATTTGAATACATTTTTTCTTAGTCGGAACGCACCGTCGCGTCGCTTGGACTGGCAAGACGAAACAGTAGACGAATTTCGCCCAAAAACCGATTTGCACTTCACAGCTTACGTTTCATTTTTATTATTCCCAAATGAAACTCTTGCTGCTTGCTAAAAACAGAGTCCACAGGGTGCTAACGACCCACTTTTTCGATTTTATCCACTACGATCTTTTTAAACTATCAAGAAGTTGAGCACAAATAGTAAGCATTTCAACCCACCATAATTCTTGCGCAAAAGCAAAATTTTGTAAAACGCTCTGATAGCACCTCAGGCAATTATGTCCTGCTTATATCCAGAAAAACATCACAAATTGCAGAATACAAAATGAACGTAACAGCGAATTGGTTACATTTAACGGGCCATGAAATTCAAATGAAAATGCAGGTATAAATCTACCAAATTATCGTTCTCAAAAACATATTTCGTTGACATATCGATAATTTTAAAGTTCCACGCTAAATTCCCCTATACTTGACTGGAGTGATATCCGAATTCATTCTTCCCTACTGTCTGTAGTTGCAGATAGATCTGTTGGCTCTTGGTGTCAAACCTATAGGGCAGGTACCGATTTTTTCAAATCGTGAGTACATTTTTCGTCGGATCTTCGTTACTTAAATTTCCTGTAATCACTGGGATCATAAGCTTCTTAATAATAGAACGTGTTTCACTGATATCAAATATGCAACATTTAGAATCACCTTCCCCCAACCCCACTTTTTAAGCAGTACAATTTTTTTCTGTCAATGTTAAGGAACCCCTGTAATGTCAAAAACGGAGTTTCAGCAATTGTTACTTTTCCTTTTTTGCCTATAGCACCGTTGCCACTGGTCTAAAACTACAAAGCTTTCGCATACTAGTAACCCCATGTGTAAATTTCATAAAAATTCGAGCGGTTATTTCCAAGTTGATGAGTGATACAGTTTTTCGTGATGTAGATGTCATATGACTTAAAAAAACATAACATCTCATTTTAGAAATTTTTCGCGATTACAACACTTCCTCGCCAATGACGTGGGAAGTAGAACGGCTTTACAATCGAGAAGTATCAGCGATCGCGATTATGAGTACCTATTTGCAGAACGACTTATCTACGCGATATTATATGGCATAGGGCCACCAAATTATCTGAATACGTCCTTTCTTAGTCCGTACATTGCGCCGCAATGCTTGGGTTGGCAGCACGAAACAGTAGACAAAATTCGTCCAAAATACGATTTGTAGAGGTTTGCGCGCTTCGAAATTTACGCTTTATTTTTTGATATTTTTGGATGAAATTTTCACAGAGTGCTGAAAACAAAACCCCACAGGCTGCTATAGAGCCACTTTTTAATTTTTTTCACTAGGTTCTTTTTAAAAAAATCGCGAAGTTGAACAGAAAAAGTGCGCACTTCAACCCATCATAAAACTTGTGCAAAAACAAAATTTCAAAAAGTGCTCCTATAGCACCCTGGGCAATTATCTTCTCAACATACTGTATGAATTTCATTAAAAAATATTGTAAAATGGTGTGTCAGTTTTGAAGCAGCTAAACCCTTGTAAATAGCTTGAAACTCACTGCGTCTTAAGGGACAGCGGTATGCCGACGTAGACGCCATTCAAAAGGCGTCGACTATATCCCGGTCAATGAGCTAAAATCATCATTCGAATATCTTTTGATCCAAGCAAATTATAAATAAATATTAACTCTGACTTTGAATAAACGAAATACGATTTTCCGAACCAAAAATGTTTGTTCATTTTTTTCATTTGTCCTGTTTACTTTGCGACAGACCTTGTATACATTAAGCAACAAACGCCTGCCGAGCAAAGCAATTTCGTATAAAAGTTGTGATATTGTTGCAAACGTATAGCCGTTAACAGTTACTAAACCGCAGTTGTATGAACGATTCTGTTGGGAGCAACTTGTTGACTAAAGTAGTAATTTTTCATACCAGAACAACAAGGATCGGGTTTGTTGTATAAATGTTACCATGGATGCCACAACACAGCTATTCAACAGCAGTTCAAAATTTATCCTATAAGTTATTGCACGAGTATGCTACAAGCATATTTTAAACGTCTTATTAAAAGATGCTCTAAAGAGCAAATATGCTGCAGGAAACTTTGCATTTCACACATTAGACCAGTATTTTGGTGTTCAGGCAACATCAATAGAGAGATTTCACGGCTCAAGAGTTCTTTTACCAAAGAATCATAGCACCACTTTCCTAGTTGATATATTGGTGCAATTATGAATGTTTCTTCACAAAGCTAATATTGGCCTATGTATAGCTAGTTATGACGGGAGTGCATACGAAACTAGGTGTGCATTCATCAAATTTTCAACAGCAATAGCAAAATCTATGAACCCTTTCGATACTAACGGGTTATACAGGGTGTCCGCAAAGTTGGGGTTTTCCTTTACACGACATGTAGATCTTGAAAACATAAGCAATTTTTCTTAGTACCATATACTCCAATGTCTTAAGGGAGCCGAGATAAAGGGCTCTGCAACATCAAAAATATCTGAATACCGTCCTGTAGCCGCGCCATCACGGAGTGGTACAATGTCACTGGCTCAACGACAGAACTGGGTCGGGGTCAGTGTGTCAGGTCAGTATGCAACCTTCAACCGACGGTTACGGTCACGCCTGTAGAGGTAATCGCGTAGACGAGAATCCCTCAACAAGCACTAGAGACGTGGCTAGAGAAGTGCAAGTATCAAAAACTAAAGTGTGGCAAACGCTGCGTGAAGAGGGGCTGTATCCGTATCACGTCCAACGTGTACAAGCCCTTCAACCTGACGATTTTCCAGCAAGAGTGCGGTTTTGTGAGTGGTTGTTGCATCAACATGACAATAATCCGGACTTTTTGAAGTGCATATTGGTGACAGACGAATCTACGTTCACGCGTAATGGGGTGAATAACTTTCGCAACACTCATGTTTGGTCAGTAGAAAATCCGCCCGCTGTCAGTCGGGCACATTTCCAACAAACGTTTTCGATGAATGTTTGGGCTGGCATGGTGCGTCTGCTCGGTAGTGCATCAGCTGATTTCATTTTCTGTTGGAGCGGTCTGATTTCGGGCAGAGACGTACTTAGCCCTTCTCGTCAACTGGAGAGTGAGTACTTTTTCCTTTATTTTTTTTTACTTGGTCGCCCTCGTTTCAATACACATGACCTTTGTTATTTCAAGAGTAGTTGTTTCTGAAAAGGAAAACCCCAACTTTGCGGACACCCTGTATAGATCCCAGCAAAAATTCCTTCATCTAATTACGCACTATTAATAACAGTAAATGCATTCAGATTACTGTAGGGACATATATGTTATCTCCCATACCGATGTTTTTAAATACTATTGGGTGCTATGTCAATTTAAAACGTATTATGCATTGTCCCAGTCGTAAGATGGGTTTTGCCTTAGATACTATTAACAGGAAATTATATTTTGAGGTCAGGTTGTAGCATCATTCTGCAATTTGTAAACAAGTGCACTTGTGACTCCTCTTTGCTTGTGAGTTTTTGACTTCAAATTCGTTCAAATGTGATTAAATAACATGGACAGGTAGTTATATATATTTAGGAGTATGCATATTTATTTATAATTATATAAAGAAATACATCGAATTTTTATGGGTGGTCTTATATGCCATAGTCAGTAGTTAGTATAGTGTATAGTTAGTATAATAATCAAATCATACCCATTTGTGAGGACATCACAATGCAGTCACCAGCAAATCCCATATGAATACGTTTGGAATATTTATGATATTACAAATTGATATAATTTTGGCTATAAACGTTACTATTTTTGCATAGGTCTCATTTTTTTTATTTTCTAGAAAAGGAGCGTTGACTGCTAAAGAAATTGCGCGGAAAATAAGTGCGTATGGGTTGACTGACGATTCGGATGTTGAAGAACCTTTTCAAGACTCCGGATCCGAGTATAAGTCAGAATCGGATATTTCATCTGAAAGTGATCTGGAGCTTCCTGCCCGTCGTACCACACGTAAAGTCAAAAGGAACAACCAACAGAAAGCTAAAAACGATTTGCCTGATGATGAAATTCTTAGCGCAGAGCCTAACTTAGCGTCAGATCTTGAGGAGATTGAGAAGATTGAGAAGAATATTTACTGGAGCACTAGTGGATCTTCATTTATTCCTTCAAAGAGTGTACCTACCGAGCATGTTACACGTATTTTACATGCAGATATTACTCATAAATCATCTGAACTT